CTCATCTTTGCTGGGAAGCAGCTTGAGGATGGCCGCACCCTTGCCGATTATAACATCCAAAAGGAATCAACTCTGCACCTGGTGCTTCGGTTGCGTGGTGGTATGCAAATCTTTGTGAAAACTTTGACTGGGAAGACAATTACTTTGGAAGTGGAAAGCTCAGATACTATTGACAATGTGAAGGCCAAAATCCAGGACAAGGAGGGTATCCCTCCAGACCAGCAGAGGTTGATTTTTGCAGGCAAGCAGCTGGAGGATGGAAGGACCCTTGCCGACTACAACATTCAAAAGGAGTCGACCCTGCACTTGGTGCTCCGTCTGCGTGGTGGGATGCAGATCTTTGTGAAGACCCTCACTGGGAAGACGATAACTCTGGAGGTGGAGAGTTCTGATACCATTGATAATGTGAAAGCTAAGATTCAGGACAAGGAGGGCATTCCTCCGGACCAGCAAAGGCTCATCTTTGCCGGTAAGCAGCTGGAGGACGGGAGGACTCTTGCAGATTACAACATTCAGAAGGAGTCTACCCTTCACCTTGTCCTTCGTCTCCGTGGCGGTATCTGAATTCTGAATGATGCTTGTGGTTCCATCCTTGTCTGATCAGTGAACAGTGACTTTTAAAAAAAAAATTCTGTAATTTTATATTTCGTACTCTTTAATTGGCCAATGGATGGGTCACCAGAAACTATTTAGTTAATAAATAAAAATGCTTTATACGCATATGCTCTGTTCCTTCTTGCATTTGGATTTTTTCTGTTTTACATGCATCTGTATTGCTCTGCCTCAGACCGGCAGAGGGGCTCATCTTTGCTGTTAAGCGGCTGGAGGACGGGGAGGACTGTTGCTGATTACAACATTCAGAAGGAATCCACCCTACACCTAGTCCCTCTGCCTTCGTGGTGGTTTTTAGATTTTCGTTGATGCTTGTGGTGCCATCCTTGTTTGAACGGCAGCATTAGCTATAATAACAAGTTATGTGGTTCTGTATTTTCATGGTCTTGAAATGGCTGATGGATGGATGGCTTATCTTATTACTCTTTATTTAGTGACACATGAAATTCCTTTTCATGCACTTCTGTTTGCGTTTTGTATGTTTTAGTTTATATATATGTATATATGTGAATTGTTCCTTCATGTTGTGCTTGGATTGTTTGGATCGAAGGTGTGGTCTGTTTGCATTACTTGTCTGTTAAGTTCGCACTGATTGATTTCCTGAATCTGGTGCTGCTCACAATTTGTAAGTGGCTCTTATCTTCCTTGTCTTAGTAAGTGGCTCTGTTCTTCCTTCTCTGGGCCATGCTTGGTCTTGGATGATTGTTGTGTGTAATTGTTTGTCTTGCTTTTGTCATCCCGTCAACCGAACAGAATACAATTAGCATTTGAAGATTGAACAACAAAAGAATGTGTTTCTAGACACAAGAAACTCCGACAACTCTCAGGAAATTAATACCTCAACTATTAGCATGAGTAACAAGCTAAACTAGAAATATTCAGCCCTAAACATGTAACTATTGAATATATAAATGTTTTAGATACTCGTATTTTTTACTTCGGCCTTTCTAATTTTACAATTTTAGCTCCGCCCCTATGTATATCACATTCACATATATCAAAAATCATATTGCCTATTCATTACAATCATAGTTGTCATCGACGAGTTTTTATATTATGAAATCGTTGCATAATAGCCTCGTCATATATACTATTAAAAATGTCTTTCTCAATATATGCAACCAAAC